CAGGCAGGCGCGCAGGCAGTGCTAGGGGGGAGGAGGGAGGCAGACAGTGTAAGGCAAACATCCACGCCCCTTCGAGGGGTTGAAAACAAACAACCTTCGAAGGGGCGTGGACCTGTTTGCCTTACACTGTCTGCCTCCCTCCTCCCCCCTAGCACTGCCTGCGCGCCTGCCTGCGCGCCAGCGCGCCTGCCTGCGGACTATGAAAGCAGCCTATGAGGTGCACAGGGTATTTGGGAAAATGAAAGCTGAAAAAACAAGTGGTCTACATAGATGAGGTCACCATCGAGGGAAAGCGCTCGGAGAGCACGGAATTTAACGGCTCCCCCAATTCCTGATCAATGTAACCACTGAAGGAGGAGTCCTAGAAGCCCGGAAGAGTAGTACCGTTGTTACAATATTCAAGCAGAAGGGGGCCGCGATGGAATGTTCCAACTACAGGGGATCAGGCCGAACTGTGCGTCAATGAATCTGTGCGAGCAGTCAGTCGACATGAAATTAAGGAGACTCGTCCACATCTTACGGCTCTATGCCAGAACGGTCTACAATGGATGCTATCTTCATAGCAAGAGACCTAGCTACCTAGCCTTCCCCGATCTGGAGAGGGCTCCCGACCGTCTCGCACGGCAAACCACAGGGAGGTGCTCCGAGAATGAAACGTTCAGAACACCTGATCAGAAACATGGTCGTTGAGTCTACGACAGCATTATGCACGCCTCACGACCTAACTGTAACATTAATTGCCACGGCTGGGGTACACCAGGATAAGTTCCAAGCCCGTTCCCCTTCATTCTAACGCTGGATGTCATCATAAGAGGAATGGATCACAGAAGGGCATCCTCTACGCTGACGACACCGCTTTGATAGCGGAAAACAGACAAGAACTTCAGGAAAAGCTACAGAAGTGGTAGGAACTGCTGGGGTTCCGGCTGGACGGAACTAGTCCAAGTCCCTCAACTCAGAAGAGCTCGGAGGATGGGATATGTGTGCCAGGCAGTGATGAGGCTTTTAATGCTATGCGTTAAAGGCTTTAACTGAGTAGTTCATAAAAGACAACTCTTCTCCGTGACTGTGAGCATGCTCAGATAGATGTACGATTGGACACGATGGACAAATTTAGAAACAGGAGCGTTACCGCGGCCATGCCTTTGCCAGCTGAAGATGTGAGAGGAGTACGGTTCATGGACGCGTACTGTAGAGCGCAACATCGACGGTAGAGTTGAAAAGAAAAAGAAGAGAAGAGGGGCCCAACTTGAGTACTACGGCAGTACAAGTTAGGGAAAACTTATTACTTGCAAACTGGGCATCATATGCTGAAGCCGATTGGAAAAAAAGGATGAAGACGTTAGAGACACTACAGTTCAAAATGTAGGTTTATGATTATCATATCGTATAAGAGAGGAGTTAGTGTAGGGGCCAGTGAAGCGCTATCACACGCCACGTAGGGCGACAATATGTAATTCGTTGTTAAGTAGCTATTCTATGGAAGGGTCCTTCTTGAATCTTCGAACTGTACAGTGAGTAGGTCTGCCGATAGTTGCCAAGGTCATGTGGACCAGGTAGACAGCTATTCTCGTAATTTTACCCTACATTCTGACAGGTAACATATGACGGGCGAGACGCGCTATAACATCATGTCTACCATCATAATCGGAAAAATAATTACGTATAAAACATAAATGAAAAATGACCAACTATGCACGCCTACAGAAGGATTGCGTTCTCTGGGATCAGAAAAATTTGAAGTTATTCTTGTTTTGAATGTTTGACAAGTGAATTGTTGACCTGTGAAGTGAATTCTTAATCTCGAATTGGTTTCATTGCCATAGTAAAGTGATTCGCTCGAATTCGTGGTGAAGCCGTAGACTACTGGAAATCTTATTTGGTTCACCTCAACAGGAATTTACTAAAGTGATGCTGCAGACGCGAAGAGCTCTAGCAGGGTCAGCGCGAACTTCGCCCTCCTCCGCCCCCCTCCCCTCATGTGAAGGGCGCAGCCCGCTGTTGAACAATGACTGGCGAAAGTATCTTTTGCTATTCAGCTCATCTTTTCCCTAGCCAATCAGCCTCTGGATACCGTAGAGTTCGCAATACCACCTTTCAAGCTCTAAGCTTCAGCCTTATAGCATTCCAACAGAAAATGAGTGTATGTCAGTACGCGATATGTAACTCTTCACCGGCGATCATATTCTGAGAACCTACAAGAAATTACTACCACCTGACATGGTTATGGATGGAGATATGGGTAGCGCAGGTCCCAAAAACGTTGTCATCACGTTTAAAGGTTCTCGTCGAAGTACATGTTCTCATTTGAGGCAAGTCATAATTGAAAGCCCATCGAATCCAGCACTAGCATGGGCAACTGTGTCGGGTTCTTGATCTCAGCTCCTATCGGGCATATTCGGAGAAATTGTTGATTTCTTCGTTTCCAGGTCATCTAGTTCGAGAAGTTGTAAGAAGTTTTGAATTCAAGGCACAGTTACCATAATTTTGAGGTCCCCTTTTTAAGTTAAAAAGTGGAAGTCTCAGTTGGCAGTGGTACACCGGTGGTGTAGGAAGCTAGGAAATTTGCTGATTTTGCAAAAAAATTGCTGCTCCAAAGTAGTGAAAACGGAGATTAGTTGGAGATACTATGGCGGAAATGACTTAGCATTTGGACGATTCCAATTGTAGCAAACGGTGGGTTCCCTTGCGATCGGTGCAGCCTCTATAACGTCGTTGAAATTTATCCGCGCGTACAATACACACGGAGCAATCTCTGAGCCTCTACAACACCCTATCTAGACCGTTTTCCTCTGTTAGCGCCACATGTAGTGTTCGAGGGGCCACAGATTTATCTTGCGGGATATCACACAAGCCATCTTTATAGTGATCTCTGCCTTTAATCAGTCCAGCATCAGTCCATGGGTTAAAGTTGACCAACAGCATTGGTCTGATTTAGGGGAACCACGCGATCAAATACCGCACAGCCGACCTCGTAATAGTGTAAGCTAGGTGTTTTAATCAAGGATTCGATCCTGGGACTATGCCTATGGTAGTGGTCACCACTTGCCACTACACCACCTCTTTTCGTGAGCTAGTAATAGTACATTTTAACACATTTTTTTATTACAATTTTTCCGAAACCTTTTTTAATTCTCAAAAAGTATTTGGTAAGATGTGAACAGATACATAGTGCCTCAGCACAGTGGCAGCACATTTGATTTATGTTGTTACTCTTAAGGGATGGGCAACAGCGGTTTGCCTAAGATTTGCTTTTGGATTTAACAATGCATGGGTGAGATCGTTACTGCTTGGAGGCGTCGATGGCATATTAGAGGATACCAATAAGTTTCTTCATGTAACTATGTCTGTTGAAATGGATGACACATGGTAGGCATCTTTGATTTTTACATATAAAAACACCATTTATCCGAAGTTTCTAGGTATGGTATTACACACAAGTACTGGGATGCAAGCACTGATGGAAGAGGAAAAAAATTGCTTCCTGGATTTGAAAGGGCTTTTAAGGAACTGGACGTGAGCTACTGCTTTCGTACAATTGTTGATGGTAATAGTAGTTAGCAGAGAAATTCTCCTTCAGTTCACTTTTTTCAGTAGGATGACATTTTGAACTATTTTCAAGTAACCATTCTTCTTGCCTTATCTACATCTCCCATGTTATCTTTCATTCTTCTTTTCTTTAAATGCCTGAAAAGAAATTGAGAAAAATGAGCATCTGGCAGGGTGAATTTTTGTGAGCTTTTTGAGTAAGACTGCAACCGCTTGCTTTCTCGATGGGTATCCACTGAAGACAGCATTTCCACATATAAACTAATTGTCTACGTGAACGAGTCGTAGTTTATATGCGGAAATGTCAATAAATAAGTAAATAAATAACTAAGTGGACTCCATAATTTTGCCCGAAGAGACCCTTTTATCTGTTTTGAACATGTTTGCCATCATCGACGATCTCGTCGACCATAGTGGATATCAAGCTACCTATTCTTATAGGGCTTGAAATTCTGAGAAATTGCGAAAGGGGGAGGAGGGGGTGGGTGGTCGCTGAGTAATAAGTGTAATGAAGGGGAAATGGAGAACGGATCAAACTCACAGGACCATACTCTGTGAAACGTGCCCTCTGCTCTTGATGGCTCAGTGGCCCATACTGTGCCGTATTAAGCCCTGTATTGTCGTTCGGATTACTCCTCGAACGGCGATCGACTAAGGGTCACATCATGTGATTGTTTCGTTATGGGAATGTCAATATTTCGTGTTGAACTATCACGACGAATACTCATCCCCTCCCTCATCGCTGACCGAGCTTCAAAAGAAAATACGGTTTGAGAATACTACTGAGTACTTTGATCCACGTTTTTCAGCAGCACTGATGTTTAAAACGAGGTGTCCTTGACCGTCGCTATTTAAAGTTGTTAGAAGCACAGTTCACGATAATTGTGGGTAATCCAGATTATGACGAAAAATGGAAGATAAGATGGAAAATAGTGCGATGAAGACGAAGGAACTGCGTGAATAGGTGTTTCCAAAGTGAAAAGGCTCCAAAAAATCGTTAAAAAGGTTGCTGGACCAGAATGAGACCAGTAGAAAGAAGAAAAGTGGAGCGTTCGGCCACTATGCAACGTGGATCATTGCGTAGTGTGGGTCCTGATGCAAATAAATAACTGACAAACAAAAAATTCACTCATAGGCATAAGTAAAGAAAAAACCCTTGTAACAGCAAAAAACACTCACCTTTTCTAGCCTCTTAGGGTAGGAAATTAAATAAGAGATCGTGGCAGCAAAAAGAATGGTAGAGGAAAGAAGATTGGGGGAAAACCATCGCTTCATCACTCACCATCAGCTGATTGCATGTGGGCCCTGGAACGAATAATTGCAATCTCTATCGCCTCGACACTTGTCTGACGTGACATCGTCGAGGGGCGGTAAAGCCGCGCGAGCCGGGAATAGGGCTCCCACGATGCCTTAATCGTCGACTTTTTGGGCGCGAGAGGGTCCCTTCTATTACCCTTTAGGGGCCACTGAGTATTCCTAGGAGAAGGACTCAGTAACCACTTTTATCGTGAACCGTGCCTTCAAATATGGAGCCACAGAACACGGAAGGAGAGTTTCGTGGGGTCCGAGAAGAGAGGGATTTTGAGCAAGCTCGGTCTTGGTGGATGGTTGTGATTGTTTTCTCCTGTAATGAGCTTTTAACGTAAGCGGTCGTTGAACAACGATGTCTTAAAGAATCCCACGCGATACCGTATTGTCTGTCAGCGATTGAGCGTGTGTGAACTGTGTGAGACTGAAGCCCTAGCTTAGTCTGCAGGTCAGGTAGTGTCGCTACCTTACGGAAAATACAAGTTGTGATAGAGCAAGTTTCCCGACTTTTCCTTCTACCCTCAGTATTAAGCTGAATTGAATGATGAAGTGGTGTTGATAGAATATCAAGACGCTCGAATCTCCCTCGGCTCCCATGCTTTAACCGAGGCGAAGAAATTGGAAGGTTGCTAAATGAAGCGGTATTGTCTAGGTCAATTTTTATGAATATTACAACGCACTATGCCAAGATTCACTGAAAGTTGAACATGATCACAGCAATCCTTTCTAGTTATTTGCTCCATACCCACTTCCTCCTGCCTTCCATCCTATGTGAATTCGAGACCTCGTCAGTAGCGTTAAATGTCAATTTGTTGAACACCTATCTGTGTTCCCCTTGTTTGCTTCTAATGATTGCCTGCAAGCAGATCTTTTACGATTTATTTCTTTGATTTTTTAGCGTTCCTTGAGCGCTTCTGGTTCTGCCACGAAACTTGATTTCACAGAATGTTTGCAATTCATTCGTCCAACAACTCCACAGTATCCACATGTGTCCTTCCAATATATTAATTAACATGTTGACGACGAGCCAATTTTTTCGTGTCTGTCCCGTGGGACGACACAGTTTCTGTCTTGGAAATTTGTTATTTCTCGAAAAAATGAGTGATTACATTCAAAAACATTTGAAATCCGCCAACCTTCTAGCAGTACTCAAATTCCGACCAAGAATTGTGGCTACTCGGGGTGATTTCAAATTTGGCGGTGATAAATTTGAATTAGGGGATATAAATAGGATCTCTGAAAGTATTATTATCCTTGCGACTATTTTTGTCATCATGAGTGTCCCGGATGTTCAAATGGAAGATACAACGAAATTTTTGACCGCTGGACAGCGACGATGATGCTGCAGGTGATTTAGACGGCGATGGTACGGCTCCTGCGGTTGATCCTGTCTTGTATTTGTATTATTCATCCTGGGATTAATTTAATAAGTGGCCGGTGCTATTTTGGACACTTATGACCCTAAATTGAAAATCTGCACAAAAAACGGAACGAGCACACACATTTTAATCGAAGAATGCACCGTCGCGCAGCATTGCGCGACATCGTCCCATGAGACAGACTGGCTGTCGCGCACCATTGCGCGACATTGTCGTCAACGTGTTAGCCATTTGAAGACGTTTCAGAAATCGTTTCAGTATCTTGATAAACTTAGCAAAGCATGTAGATTAGAATTTTGGGTACTATTCTACTATTACACCCCCAAAAACTCAAAATTTTAATTTTCGATGAAACTTCCGATGGGGGTAATCCGATGCCCTGATAACGGAAATGACCTTTATTTCTGGCGCTGGCGCCAATTTGGCGCCAAGGGTGTTTTCACCAAATTTGCTGAAAACTTGCGTTTAGGGGTTATTTGAGGTCCTGATAACGAATATAATATTTATTTTTGGCGCCAATTGGAGCCAAATGGCGCCAACGCCAAAAATGAAGGTCATATTCGTTATCAGGGCATCGGATTACCCCTATAGGCGAAGTTTCATCGAAAATTAAAATTTTGAGTTTTTGGGGGTGTAACAGTAGAATAGTTCTGGGGGTGTAATAGTTGAATAGTATCGAATTTTGGTAATAATGTAAGCAGTAGGGATTCGTATAACATCCAAAGAACTTAGAGATGAAGAGATCGACCGCGCGGTCACATAATTGCAAATCAGGTACTCTAAGTACTGCCTCCAATGCTTCAAGGATCTACAGAAATCTTGCAAATGTATCCAAACCTTTTCAGCACTACTCCAATGACTATATATGTTTGTAATAAATAAGCTTCTATAAAACACTCACGTGGACCATGTTGAATTTGGATACTATGAAGTTTGTTAATAAATATGAAAATATTAAATAAGTTTCAGATGTGCAAATAAAGGGAAAAAACATGGTGACACCCAACATTAGGTGCCATGGTCCCATGCGTAAGTCATAGTGGTACCCACCGGCGGGTGCCACGGTCGTCAAAAGGCTAACGAGACATTCACCAGACATTTAAAAGGGGTAGATGAGTAGCATAAACTGGCCCTACTCGTGCAATCTACTTTGAACCTGTGCCCCAATGATAGACGTCAGGGTCGTCTGAAACACCACGAATTTCGCTGCGTCATTTGCCGTGTCCACCCAGAACTGGGTGAATGTTCCCATAACCGTGGTGGTTCCGCTACAGCCTCTACAACAACGTTAGAACCCGTCCGCCTTCGAGTAGGTGGTTCGTCGACGATCAACTTGGTATTGAGACCTTAATACCTAAGCCGTTTATCAATCCGACTCACATCTCTCGTGTCATCCTTCGTAGTCACAGGTTCAAAACCATTGTCATGGTGAACTGTGGCTTCAAAAAGTACAGGACTCAGAAGACGAAGGCACTTGTCAATCTTATATGAAACAAGCATTAAGTTAATTAGTGGGTAAAATAATCTGAAAAAAAAAGAGAATGTCACACTGTTCGCGATGAGAAGTTCAATCATTTAAAAGGCTGTAAAATTAGGCAAAGTGAAGCATGCACCAAAGGTAAATAATAATAATCGCACTGCCTTCTCTTGAAATTTCTAGAACCAAACGTGATTATGCAAAATGCATGTATAGTATAGTGTATTGTTTTCATTAGACAACAAGCGATATCGAAAGATCATCCACTGCTTATGAAACGAATTCAGATTTATGTACTTGCAGAAGCGACCTGCTAGTCGCAAACTTCTCGTATTACTTTTGTATCAAAATCCTGGTGATATCAAAAAAGTATTAGACAGACATAAACAACTTCTGGTAAGCTTACATATTCCATTTATCGTTCAGTAAATGCCCGAACTGCTAAAAAATTTAACTTATATAGTAACCCAAAGCTTTACGTCTAGTAGAAATGTCTGCATACATAGCAGAGGGACTGGGTGGTATGTCAGCACAAAATTAAGCTTCCCATGAATAGGCCCATAAACAAGTGACGTTTCCGAACTGTCCTAATTACTAAGAGCGAGGAACTGATGGTGTAGCTAATGCCTTATGGGCTAATTATCGGTCTTTTTCAATTCCATCAATTCTGGGACTGAACGATTTCGATCTCATCTCAATCCACATAACCTATTAGCACGTCGATGTTCCACTGCTGACGTATGTATATGCATGAGACACCTGATGGGTGCTGCATTCTATGGGGAGACGGGCAGTAGGATTGGCTCTGTGCAATCGATCCGCCGCACGCGGCAATCGCGGAACATTCACTTCGCCCTTATAACAACTCTAGCGTTCTTCATACAGCTCATGCGATATGCGACCATTATTTTAGGCATGATTCTACTGCCAGTTCTTTTGTTTCCGTTTTGTTTCTTACCCGCTGCATTCTGCTGCAGTCCCTCGCGCGCGGCGTCCCTCTCGCCGAGACGCGACAATTTCGATCCAACTGCATCTTATCTCCTTCTATGGGACCTCATCAGTCGTTTTCAAAGGCTGCCGTTTCCTGTCTCCAGCCAACTGCGATATAATCACGCACTCCTCGATAGAGGGTTGGAGCTTCGATGCTTTTTCTGAAAACCTAACTGTTGCGATGGCTCTCGATTTTTGAAGCTCCTAATAAGTCCCTCGGGCGGAGGTGATGTAGTGGCAAGGGGCGCACTTCACCAATGCATGGTCACGGGTTCGAATTCTACATCGATATCCGCCTGAGCCGACCAAGCCTCCCATCCCTTCGGAGTTGTTCAATTGGTACCAGACATGTCTGGAGGGTGAAATCACTGTTTTGTACATCGGCTGGTGACTGCACGCCATTGTATAAGATACATATTCACTCAATACTCCACTACGTTACTGAATTGAAGTCGGATGCATGGAACCTCTCAAAACTTTTATCAACCTTTACCACAGGTGCATCCCATCTTGCGGCTGTAATTATTCCGAACTTGGACGCTCCGAATTCAGGCGAACAAGAGTCATGAATTTTCGGTCAAATACGTATCGACATTGCACAATCAAGCAAATAAACACAAGGATAAACCAACAACCTAACGGATCATAGATACAATGTGATAGGCGCTTTGATGACCAAACGAAAGCCACTTAAAATCCAATTACCTTTCATGCTTCTTCTTGGCTCCCTGTCAAGTTTTAGTGCTTAATGTCACACTACGTTCGGCCACACAATACGCAACTAACACATTAATTGCAATGGTTTCATATCATTATGGCATATACAGTCCAATATTCTCCCTTTACGGAACCCTTGTCTGCCTCCAGAAGTTAATATATTTCTCACGCCAATCATTGCTAACCTTATAACTACCGATTTCGCCGACTGACAAGCTGAAGCGCCGAAGCTTTTCACTCATCAGGAACGGAGCGTCATAGTGCAGTTTTCATAACAACTCTTTGATTCCTACTAGCAGTTGCCACTTTCTGCCACAAACCAGCCATACTATATACAGGGTGTCCCAAAATTGTTGGCGCAAATTCAGAAATTTCTAAGGTAAATATATAATAATTTATCAGTTTCACATTACCTATTCTTAGTTAGTTGCATAAGAAGGTTTCCTTGCAATACGCATGGTTACTGATGTGGAACTCCCATTATCTTTCAGATGGAGGGGGCTCATTCAATGCCACTTGCAATCGTTGACACGTGAGAGGTGGAAGGGCACTATGAAATTCCTTGGGATTTTCATAATAATCGTATAGTAGGCTATTAAACGATATAGAAAAGATGATTGAATCAGAGACAAACCAGGAAAGGTAAGAAGGTGGAATGTTTCTAAAGATAGGACTATTAAAATGGTCCGTCTGCCAATCGGTCGGTGTCCTGGGGACCCATCAAAAGGAAGTCAACGTGCACGGCTTACAAGAGTTATCGCGATGGAAGAATGTCATGCAGAAGCTTCACTGCCGTTCCTATCGTATGCAGAAATTTTGCTTCAATTCGACCTCAACAGACACTGCAGGGTCGAAAAATGCAGAAAGTCGCGGACCCACTTGAGTGATGACACGCAATCCTTCGTCGTTTTCTCTGGACGAAATTTTTTACGATAGCACCATCCCTCAACAACCAAAGGCTCGCGTTCCGGAAAGAGGCATTTGACGTGTAATATCTCACAAAAGGTTGCTATAAGAACAGTGAAACGTTGTTTCCCGAGAAATCACTGGCAAGGGTAAGCCGCTCGTGGCTTCTTCTGTGCAGGCGTGAAAATTGATCAAGACCAGTACTCAAACAGCGTACTGATGGAAGTAATGAAGCACTGATCCGACTGGTTTGCTGAAACATTTCGTAGTCCTTCCAGCAGGACGCTACTCCAGCCCACAGAGCTGAGCTTGTCCGTGAGTGGTGCCGACGCGGCTGCCCTACTTCATTGGTTGAGGGGATGGTCATCCTATTTTTCGAAACTTGACTTACTTGACTTCCACGACTGGTCTCTGATCAGAAGAGGGACCTATCGAGTTTGCGATCCCAGTTTGGAGTCCCAGATGCAAAGGCTGAAGAACGACTGGGAAGAAATGGAGAAGGATACCTGCGTGCCACAAGCGATCGTGTCGAGAGCAAAGTTTGAATTCTATCCGCGCTCATGGGGGATATTTTGAAATGCGACTGTAGCATGTTGTAGCACATAGTGTTAGCTGACGTGCATAGCAATTCCATCGTGTTTCGCATCTGAGAAGTTTCACATATATTGCTATAAATCGGTGCCAATAAATTTGGGGATACCTTGTATAAGGCGCTCGCGACTGCCTTTCCGTCTATCTGTTTGCACTGAAATTCATAACCCTGCCCCGTGTACCTAGGACGTTCAAATTTGGTGGGAGCACAGGCGGCAGGATGGGAACACACATGGTGGGTGGCAGGACCGGACTCCCCTCACAATGGGCGGGGTTGCGCAAAATAAATGTTTGAGCGAAAAATAATAACTCCGTTCTCGATGGACCTAGAGCGCTTAAATTTAGAGGGATTGTTGGAGGCAGGATGAGAACATTTATGGCGGATGGCGGACCGGACCGCGTCCGCAGGGGGCGGGGGTTGCGCCAAAATTGTCAATTTGGCCTTGGGGCGTTCAAACTTTAGGAGGACGGGCGGCATTATGGCAACACTTATGGTGGCTAGTAAGGCCGGACTTCGCCCACAGGGGCGGGACTCCCGTGAACTGAATGTCCAAACTGTACATCAATGGAGACAAGCTGAATGGGGAATAAAGAAATGAATTTTTTTCAGACTGTTCTGGTATTTGAATTTACCCTGCTCTTCACCCCTTTCCGCTCCTCCTTCTAGAAAAATGTTATGAGAATTTCAGCACTGGAATATTGTCTCCCCTCTTATTAACCAGATACTCAGGATGCAATCCTTACTTTTATGAATTGTTTGCACAGAAAGGCAGATTTTTTATGGAATGAAAAGAACAAAATGGTTTATATTTCAGGCCGGTACTGACTCTGTCATAGAAATATTCGTAGCCGCTCGTCATAATGATAACGAGCCAGACCTTATGAAGTTATCTTCATCAGGAATAGTATATAAAATGGGTTCGGACTATTCGGACAGCTGTGTAAGTCTATCCCGCTCTAATTTACCATTGAATTATGCTTTATTCAACAAAAAAATTTTTTTGTTGAAGCTTTTTTTTGACCGTTGAAAAGACACGACAAGGTACAGCTCTGCTGCTTCCGACCCAAAAAAAAGCTGAAGGAGCGCTTAGCCGGCTTGAAAACTGAGAGGAGTGATCTTGCAGCACCAGTTCGCTTCACGCCTTGAAGGACAACAACCGTTTTCTGTTATGGCAAGTGGTAGAGGAATTTAGAGAAATTCGCCGTTGGCCTGATTAATAGCTAGGGGTCCCTGACTTCTGTAGAAATAGGTATACACAAAGGGGCTGGCTTCACTCCGCGTAACTTGAAAAAGAATATGAAATTCGTGCAGAAATTAAATCATAGGTTGCCCGGGCCTTCTACTAGTACTAGTAGTTCTCGAGGTCATGCTGAAAAAGTCCATGAAGAATTTTTTTTAAATCCTCTCGTTTGCTTGCAACATTTATATGATGTAGTGAACGCTAGCCGGCAGACAGGAATAACAAGAGACAACTGCATCTTGTTGAAATGGTATCGCTAGTATATGATGCACCGGTGCTAGAAAAGCCAGTCAGTGCAGTCGTGCAAACGCTCCTATTCCAGTACTGGAAATACGTCTACAATATGGAATCCTTCTCAAAGATGCCAAAAGGTCTCGATTAGCATCTGAACTCCAAAACCTATGGAAGCGACTAACACGTGTTTCGAAGAAGGGTTAAAGGCATATCATGTGAGGGGCTCAACTGAAAACAAAGGAATGCAAGTCGGAGATTCAGTCAGGCGTCCAATGAATAAGGCTTATTCTAATCCACCGAAAAGCTATTCATTAACCGACCATAGAACCGTGATCATAAAAAAAGACAATAGAACGGGCTTTCCAATCCTACAGTAATTGTTGGTTTCGGTCATTCCAACGAGGAACACATCACGAGATATAGGATGTTCGACCTCATATCGATGAAATGTGGGCCAGCTATGAGTTACACAGCCACAGTGGTATCTCCGTTTGCTTTCAATCTCAAATTCGTTGACCGGAAGATTCACTGAAATCTCATAGTGTCATCCGAACCAGAGGTCCATGACAACAGTAAATTAGGCATCCTTGCCACGTCTTCTCTGATCGAAGAGTTTGAGAAGGCGTGCGATCTGATTTTGTGTGAGCTGCCATGAGAGTAGCCAAAATGAGGATTTGGCTTGGAAGCGCGGCGATGATGGCTACGAGCGCTCCTTTTATCTGGGTACTACATAGTAGTATAATGTGGGCAGTACAGCACAATCATCAACACATGCGGGAACCGGAGTTTCGCGGTTTTCCCCAGATATCTAGATACTCTTCATACCAACCGTTCTCTTCTTTTCGGCTCCAGAGCAGATTGTTCATTATGTTGACTTACCGACCAGGATATAAGTAAATCCAGCATTATAGATTTCATACCGATTAGCGTACAGAGAGTGCAAGAAAGCAGCTCATTTTTCATGAAACTGGTCGTCGTTCGATTAGTTGCAAGCCATTGTTCTCAAGAGCAGGTTCAAGTTCGACCGGCTTGTTCCGCTTCCTTTATATTTCGCTTTTATGCTCGGAATCATCTTTAGAATGGACGTCACGAATTAACGTTCGTCGACCTTCACTTCGATGTCTTCTAATTCAAAATGCGGGTCACGTTTTCGAGAGCGGCACTGAGGAGTTTGGGCGAATTAGCATCATTCTGCTGGATCACTCTCTCTACCTTCACTACGCCCAAAAGTACTTACAGGAGATACTGAGTTGTAGAACGGCGGAATAGTGGGCGAGATCTCTTTTTAAACGAAAGATCCCTTTAACTTGTAAGTAATCCCTGATTGCCCAGTGCTCTTATTGCCGCTTCTCGCTCTACATTAGTAAGGACCACTCCGAATCAGATGACCGTAAGATATACCAATTGTAAGAACTGGAATAAGTTTCGCTACTTTGTTACTACGCTGATATGTTCGATCTTGCTCCAGCCTTTTTGAGCCATTGCTTGGTTGCGTGATTGTCCATCATCTACAGGGTACAAATCGACTCAACACGGCAGACGCAGGGAGCTCATACTCTAAATCCAACTTCATACCTGAGCAAGTTTATGGCTCCTAGCATAACACATACAGGATATCTGCCACCTGACCACAATGGCTTGCCATACACTAACTGAACACTTTTCTCTGAGAGAGACTTCCCAGAGAAGGAGATCCATGGTGGGAAATATTGAAAATTGGATTCCAGGGGGCTCAGTCTGTCACCTGATCACGAATATGGCGCCTATGGCAGCAACTTCTGGGCTCACGCACAGGAGCCGGCGCTACCCTCACATGGGCCATGTTTTGGGCGATGCTCATGCTCATCATATAAAATTCCATTTGTTAACCAGTTTCTATGAAATTCAATGGTTCATTGTAAACTGGCTCTCACGGCTGTCTCTCCGTAGCCGGTCTCAGCGACAAGATTTCATCGACAATCGATCTCGGAACAAAAATCAGTCGTGCTATGAAAAAAAGGGGAGCAGGGGGAAAGGGTCGAAATTGAGTTTTTTAAATACCCAAGCTATCATTCTTTTTATTATAGCGCACGGCTACAAGGATTGCATCCATTATGCAACGCCTTCATTGCTTACGTTAATGAGGCAACCTACGGTAACAAGGCGTCCTGAATTTGAATCCTACAGTGGTGATACGTTTATCAGTTTTTACCAGCTCACCCAATAAATAGTAAATGTATCCCTTTTTCATTTGTTTAAAACAGCAAACTGACAACTTATCTTTTGTACTGATAATGAACAGTTTGGCTGATCCTTTGTCGTAACTTACCAATACTTCAGACATTTAGTAAAGAGATGTGTTTCTAACAAATATTCTAAAACCATTCCCGAAATTGACAGAGAAGCTCTTTACTCTCATTTGTGGGTCCACAGGTAAGGTAGAGTGGGAAGGTTCTGCGGAGAATATCAGACTGGTTCACATTTCCTCGGGAACTTTGGGAAGCTTCCATAGACTTTTTGTAGAGTGTGTGCATGACAGGCCGCTTTCACAGTCCACGATATGGAACGCGAGCGCGCGAGCGAGCGATTGGGGCGGCGCTTGCTCCTCGTTCACAACAGAATCTGGTCGATACCGCCGGACGAGTAGTCCCCAGCTGGCTTACGCGCTCGCTCGCTCGCTGGCGGACTATGAAAGCAGCCACATATGTATTTGGAGATTTCCTTATGGCAACAAGTTGACCAGATGGAAACATATCTTCAACCATTGATTCTGGCTGATAAACGTTGGAACGAGCTGTGCACAGAATCGCTAAACGGGGCTTTGAAACCAAGTGTTGAACTTATGTCTGGATTGATTCCAAAAGCGGATTGATCGAATTTGGACTCGTAAAGAAGTATGCATTGAATATGGGTAGCCGCTCCCCATCGAAAACGTCCAGAAAATTCTGGGTGAAATCCATGAAATCTATTGCGACGTTTTTGAAAAATGCTTTTCGTGTATTCTATTCTATACAAAGACGGGTTTCACAGTTCACTTTCAGGTTCAGGTTTCACGGAACTGGAAATTTTTTCAGGGAAAAAGGCAGAACGTTTATACTACCGATTCCAGCCTGAACAACCATATTGCAATATCATTATCTAGCCCTTGATTAGTTGGGCCCTCGACCATAGTACTACCATAGCCTTGCTACCTACCTCTACCATTTCAGATTGGAAAGTAAGCCATTTAAGGCTCTACCTACATATTCCCATTACACTCTTCACCTCTTAGATGAGCCCACTAAGCGCCATGTTAAGCTAAATCCTTACCTCATTTCCGTGAGAAATCTCTAGGCAAAGGTTTGTTTACGTAAGCAATCTGTCGCCTCTATAACTGCCAAAGGAACTGTATAGAAGCTATCCAGTCGTTTTTATTCCATATGAAGCCACTCCCAATCAGGACCCCACAAAGTCATTGGGTACATGTTTTCGTGACTAGATTCGTAAGTATGAATTGATTCACCATGCTTGCGCTGAATAGAAAAGAATTAGGCTTCTCGAAACATCACTGATTGACTGGCACAGCTTCTAATGACGCTTGTACATCATCTAAAAATACACAGCTCATCTTGTTCTAAAAGCTTACTCAATGAAGATATACGATATCGACGGCTATTCATCTCATGAAGCCTAGAGTATAGCCTTTGTAGGTTTACAGGAATTCAATAAACCTGTCGTGTTCAAATGGTGTTGGGCTGAAGGCAGGCCGAAGTGGTGTATCGGCAAGTGGTTTACCATCACACACGCACGGTCACAGGTTCGAATCCCGGCTCGTTATTTCACTAGGTCAATTAGAATTCCATTCATCCGGACCGTTTAATGGTAATAAACTCGTTTGGGAAGTTATTATAAAAGCCTGGTCGAGTGCATCGGGTGGCCAACGCAAGTCATAGTACAGACCACACACACATTCGAAATGCCACTACGATTCTGAATGGAAATCGAATGCGGGGCGCAATCCAAAAACGGGTTCGATTGGAGGTGAATGGATTAGTTTTCTTGCGGGTAGAGTTGATTGGTTTCCTCAACACGGGTGGATCATTCGATTCAGCGACTTTAAGGAGGAAATAGTGTTCAGCTTCGTTTCCTTTCAAGAGCATATAGCATACGACGTTTACTCAGAATCGTGGAGAGGTCTGAAAGCATGCATCTGCTCCTCCTCTGTTGTGCATGTCATGTTCCCCGCTCCCTATTGAGACACCAACTAATGAGAACATTCGGCGGAGATGAGGAATGGAAAGAACTGTGAGTTGTGAGATAATCGACCCAGTAATGGACCGCACATTAGAAAGGCAAAGCATTCATCCATTGACACGATATTTTACAGCTTCTATGCATTCTAAATAAAATTTTGGAAGCAATACAAGCCGCGGTAGAAGAGAGCATTCACATCGTGAAATTGATGTCCTGTGCCTCCAAAAACGATTCTCAATGAGTCTTGTCATTTTTCCAAATTTGCCTCATCAATATATGGCTAACCTTTCGCCGAATCGCCTCAGACAAAGCCTAAAAGAATGAAAATGATTTACATATGATATGATAACAGCGAATGCCTTGACACCTTTAACGACCTTTGAAAACAATCTATCCATCAAACCATCCCAGGTGTGTAAAAGTACCTCCTCTCCCTCATTTTTAAGATAAGTTTACGAGGCCGATGGTGAAGTTCAGCTGTTTTGAGTTCAAAGTCTACGATCAAAGACTAATCGTTCAAAGGGGTGCTGTTCCCGTTTAGCTGAACAATGAAGCAATGGCCTAGCAATGGCCCGGCATTGCAGCACAGAGAAACGTTCGATTGAGGAAGTAGCTGGCTTATTTCAGCCAAAAAGGCAATGGCCAAAGCAGGCGATAGTCGTCACGCCATGACGAGTTATCTAGCCTCCCTGAACACCTGAAGTTGATACTATAGCGACATTTGTTTGAAGCTGCCATGACTTGACCTATCAAAAGCCTCTACGTGCTGACTGTGTTGCAGTAATAGGAAAGAAGTCCAACACAGCCACCACAGAGGCCGCATTAATTATGTTGAGAGATTCCATGCCGAAAGTTTTCGCAGCACATAATTCATTCAGATGCTCTTCACGAGCTTGAAAACATGTGGGTGTTTCAAAGGTGATAGATTGAATGACTGGGGAGTACTTCTGTTGGAATGCTGTCAAAAAACTTAACCAATCCTGTCAGTGGAACCACCCAGTGATTGATAATGGGCCTGACCAATGAGGCAATTATTTTAGATGAACTGCCCGTGAGAAAGAGTTCGTGAGTTTTGACAAGTACTGGGGAGAGTGGCTGTCCTTTGGTGTCCAGTGGTAAGATTCGACTAGAGCCAAGACCTGCTGATCTTGCCATAGTTTGTCGGTTCAGACTTTGAGACCGTGACTGAAATCTCTTACTGGAGCACCATTGGTAGCGGGAGTTATACTGTACCCGTGTACTTGAAATGCTACAAGTATGGAAGAATATGAGTCGATATTTTGTTCCGGGTGCCCGCTTACATCTCCTGTAAGGCCGTGGGGTGACCCTGTTATAGTGTGGAAACCCTATGGGTAAAGAAAGACAATCTTAGGGTAAAGTTTCGCGCCTATAAAAGCTCTTTGAACGAGCGATTTCGATATAGCCATGCTGTTGCGTCTTTCCTTTTTTTAAGGCACCATTGGTTTCATTTATGAGAACAGAAAGATGCTGTGCCATGGGGATAACAGCTTGGAGAATGTTTACAGAGAGACCTCCGCCCACACCCGGCCAAGGCATCAGCTGCTTCTGCATCACCATGGATGCTTCACACGATATCCCACCCCTTTTCCGTTCCCTCAGCGCTGTTACCGCCTTATCAAGTTTCCCTTAGGCAGTGTGGATCGACTGACGATCCCCCCTTCTCTGACGACAATGTTTGAATATTCTAGTAACTTTGCGTCCGAAGGCTATCCACTTGCCGTTAAGCGCGAGATGGCACCAATAACAGGTACAAATTTACTTCAGTGGATTTTTTTTCGGGGAATCTTTTTCCAAAGGTGGATGAAAATGAGAAATGTCTTTTCCAAGCTGAGATAACTATAATGCAAGAACTTTTACACGCTTTATTCAAAGGAAGGAAAAGTCCTGTAAGATTTCGCTATCGTCTTTGGTCATTTTACTATCTTTTTATCGAAAGCTCTCCTCATTTTCTTCCGCTTAGAGCATTCCTCGGGTATGTGGTGAGCTTTGTGGGATCCTTTTGTTTTTCATCTTTTGGATGATTTCATTACATACATATGAGTATTTGGCGAAGCGCTGTGTTCGGGAAGTACCCACCTAAGCTTTTGCGGAATTTCAGGTTTTTTGAAAGATTATAGAAGGTTTTTATGGGAGGAACGCTGCCCATATGTATTTGTATATCCATATTACCAGCATAACAGAGTATGCAATCGGGTGACCAGAACGAGGCTCATCTTCGATCCTGTTGCCCCTTGCTTTGAAGCGTTGGAAGCAGGTATGCACAGAGCCGCTTAGAAAGAGCTTCGAGACCAAGTACTGGGGTAAGTTCCAATGGGCTTTGGCAGCGGAGTGGTCTCCGAACTCGTAAAGAAGTACGTAGCTTAGCTTGGCCATTATAGGGTTACATAGCAAGAAACGGAGAGCCGAACTTATTATGCGCTCAGAAGCTTATGCAGGGACTTCATGGAAACTTCCATTAGTTCCAGGAAAATTCTGGACAGTTGCGAAATTTCCAGTGAGAACTTTTACGACGGCCTGATACCATGGCTCATCCTGGAAGATTGTATTCACCTCTACAAATATGATGCAATCCTTGAGCCCAGGCCAGTTAAGCTGTATGTTCCCCTCAATTGACCTAGCCAGTATGCTTTGGTAACAAGTAGCTCAAACAATGAAAGCGAGACAAGAACTGCATCCGGAACTTTAGCTTCTTCTGAAAAGCCCGGAAAACCCAGTTTTCAGAAGAGACAATCAGCAAGACTGCACCATTCGTAGTGCAACACTCATTTGTGTAAAGTAGAGTGCTTGTGGTTTCCCGTCGAGGTAGCCATTGTCTGTAGGTCTATTCCTTTACACTTTCAAGCTCTGCACTTTGGAATACTATGGAGCTCTCGAG